CGTATAACCGGATGCAGATCGAGCGAGCAGTGGTAGTGGCGTTGGCGACAGCAATGGCGCGCTGCCACCGACGGCTCCTCCTGCGTGCCTTCGACCGAGAGCAAAAACCGGTGTTTTTTATGGTGCAAAAAACACAGCCCCGATGCACTTCATGCACAACGTCGTCGTTGTCACTCTCGAGCCCTAACCAATGGGCGTTAGCCGTCCGACGCCGGGCTTGGTGGGTTTGTTTCTCTGGCGTGACGTCATCATTACCGTTGTGCTATTCTGTGGCAACGACGAAAGAAATCAATCTGAATTATTTTACGGCATATACACAGCTTCGCTCTGTCTGCCCGTGCGATCTGTGCTGCCCGGTACGAGTGTGCGATGCGAGGAACAAGCAGCCTCGTCATCGATTACCTCTGCGTTTTCCGTCTGTACGTCCCTCTGCTTAACTCGCGCCTCTTCTGCTACTTCTTCCTTTCCGTACCGATCTTGCGGCACTTGCGTTTTAAACTCACTGCAGCGTTTAGTCCGTAGTTCACCCGTGAATCAGTCATAATTCACAACATGAAAATCATAAATTCTGACCTTTTAAGAGTTTATGAAGTTTCTACACTCAACCTTGATCAAGAACGACTTTAGTTCCTCTATCGGTTGCAGTATCGTCCCTGAAACATCGTCATGACGCCTTGCGTTCTACTTTCCCATTGTTCGTCACTCCTCCTACAACTTCATGCGTGTTTTTAACGGGATTACGACAAAGAGTTATCCGAAGCGGTTCATCACGCTTCGTTTCGAATGTGAATGCTCTTCTCCTAAGCAAAATTGCTTTGAAATCTGTAACGAGGTCTATGAATCCATCATTATAATCGATGAGAATGCTTGAAACTATCCTGCGATGAAAACTTTCCACTGCACCTTACCTTCGAAGTGCGATATGCAATAAAACTGGTCAAGGTGGTACAACAGTGAAATTCGTCGAATGCGGATGTGTACCATTGATCAACGTATTAATGTGGCTGTCACAAGAAAGTGAAACTACTAGACTATTCGACTACCGTATGAGTGATTTTACTTCACAAAAAAATGAGACAGAGAATTTGAAGAACTACAGGCCGACCAATTTGTTACCAATCACCTAGAAGATCTTCACGAAGGTACCTATCAATAAGTTTCATGAAAGACTGAACGCTACACAGCCAAAGAAGTGAATTTAATGCGGTGAATCACCTCATCATAATAGCAGGAAGTAATTCACACAAGCAACAAATACTAGCTTCTTCTTCCTGGGGTTCTCAATTTCGAGCCGGTAGAATGAAGCTTCGTTTAAGAACAAGTTCAAAATCGAAAAAGGCGACATAATATCACCGAAACTATTCACAGCAGCCATAAGAAGTGCTCAAGACATTCCTTTGCAAAAATCAAGCAGTACTTAAGCCATCTACGGATTGCAGAGATATGCTGATGTTCTCAAGGTCATCAGATGAACTCAAAAGTACAGTCTACGAGCTGAAGGATGCCAGCGTGAAAAACGGCCTGGAAATGAACCTGAACAAGACTCAGGCCATATGTAACAAATGCGTCACCGTTTGATCTGCTGAAGGCGCTTGAAGAAATGCTGAACTACGTCTTTCTGCTGAACTTCATCTGTGCGAAAGAGGACCGAATATGTGAAATCGACAGAAGAATAAAAATGGAATTGAGCATTTCTGGAAGACTGAAAAGATTCTTATCCGGGAAACTGCCCTTGTGCTTGAAATGGAAAGTTTTCGATCAGTGTGTTTCTCAGTGCTAGATGCGTCAAATGATTCTGGAAAGCACTTGATCTGCATTCAGGGGAAAGACTTGCGATTAGGTAGATAAAGTCTGACTTTGTTAGTAACAACAAACCTGTACTTAGAGAAGTTCGGAAATACTGCCTTCAAATACGCTCCCTTAACCGCCCCCCCCCCTGCCGCAAACTCGGTGGCGCTACGTTCGCCATTTTTGAAAGGCAAATTCGACAAAACCGTCGAACCACCTGAGTAACGTACTGTCGGAAATAAGTTCACGACAGACATAGAGGAATGTGGCACAGTTACAGTTCTGGGCTATAACGTGAGTCACCCATCCGGTGGTTGAATGAAAAAGTCACAGTGCACAGAACACCTACGTACCGAACTTCATTTAAACTTTTCAATTCTTACCAAGCCATTGTCACTAAAGCCGGAGATGTTAAGTGACTGATGTTCGGAAACTGGTGCTCGAATTGTAGTGGAGCATCCTTATGACATAAATGCAAAATGAAGACCCCTGAAAAATTTATCCCCAAAGCATCGAGGCGTAGAACTGAACAACTAGTTGAACTGAGGCAAGAACCTGCATGCCTTATTTTCCTGCACTGCCCTGAATCTGTCAGGACTGCATATTATTAACTCAGCTAACATCAGCATTGCCTCTAAGTCTAAAACATAAGACAACTGCTAACGTGGGTAAGGGACCGAACGGCCTTGAAAACGTGACAGGTTCGTGCGTGAGATTGATTTTTTACCGGAAATCTGCCATACTCTGAATGGGTATCACGACCGCAACAAGTGTTCCCTGGCCAAGAAGCAAAAAACGGCAAAACTTGCAAATTACTTCTGGACCGATCCATCTCCACCCAGATATCGCGGGAACTATAACGGAAGCGAAATCTTTGAAAGGTCTTGTTTGGAGCCTTCCTGATTCCGACCATTGGAAACGTTGTGAATAGGGACTGTGGGTAGGCGATGTCAAATGCATGAATTAGCGTACACAAAAGACTTACAAAGTCACAGTTATTTCTAACCGATGCGTGGGAACAGAGGACCATTTCATTAGTACCAGTCAAAAATGAAGAGTGCAAGGAGGCGTACAGTGAAGATCTTGTTGACCAGAACTGATATTGATCTATCACCAGACTTCTGAGTTTGACTGGCAGAAGTATAGAGTATGAGTTTCATTACATGCCTGATAAACGTGGGAAACTCCAACCGGAACCTGGTCCCATTAGAACAAAACTTTGTCATGTGAATATATATTGGAAGTAAAACTTGTCAGTCGCCGTTAATTGAGATTTTACTGTGACCAACCTACCGTGCAAGGAACCCTCTCTTCGGTCCTCAAACGAAAAGATGGTAACGAAATCCGAATAAGCGACATCCAAGTCCGACTCTTACTGCTCTTCGTCGTAGCGGAGAAACCGGTTTGCGATGTATTTCTCTGTACCCTAAGGACACAGACATAGCGGTGTCAATGATTGGTGTTTCTGTCAACTGACGACCTATACATTTTGTACTTCGAATTCTCGACCCCTTCCGGACATAATTCTTATTCATGTGAAGTTCCTCGTTCGTTTCTGTCCAAAACGTGCTTGCTGCATTTTGTCGATGTTAGTCGGGTGCTTAGTTGAGCCTGAGCCGTCAACCTCTTACCCCCCCCCAACCCTTCAATTTGCATTTCGTTTCTGCCAGCCTCAAGGACTCATGACCTTCTCACATTTGCACAGTACGTAACTAGTATGCCAGATTTCGCATCCATACTGCGCATAGACGCACGAAATGTCTTTATTGCATCATAACCGGATTCTAGTGCTCGCCCGACTACCGGCCACATATTTTTATTGACAAGGGTAATAAAAGATATGACATTAAATGGACGTCGTTGAACTAACGCCGCGAGTAATGATCACCAGTCCCGTTTGATTTCAAACGCCGGAGCGAAGTCTTATTCCGCAGAAGCTGTTCGCCTTCAACACAGAAACTCCGTGTCAGCCTCTGATGACTCAACAAACCAAAACTTAGTCCGTCATTTTATTTTCTTCCAAGGCGACTTGGCGTTTCGCTGAAGCGGAAATAGTTCTGCGAACTTGTTCGAAGTAAACGAGATCAAGAGTATGAGAAAACACGTTGCTACTTTATATTAGCTGAAAGATTATTGCTTCATACTAAACATCTGCACTGTGCAGCAGATCGTCTGAAACATACGTTGTTTCGCGCATCTCTGGAAGGCGGCGAGTGGTCGAATATTCGAAGCAAATCAAACGTGTATTCTTAATCTAAAACACAACCGCGATATTCTGCGATAACCATTGCATAGCTTTCCACCTCCGCCGGTAATTCATTATTGTCATCGTTGTAATCGGCCCTTTTCGATCCACTGCTTAACGAAGCACCACATCATTTATCACTTCTCCTGGATTTGCCATGAACCTCAGTTATCTGACATTTTTATCCATCTTGATCGATGGAATTTCTTCGGCTGATCCTACTACTGATCGATCTGATGATTTTCCTACCATTCATTTACTCTGTTTTAGAATTAAGTATATTTTATCTCAGGTTTGGTATATATGGCCGGTTTGCTTGCACATTGTCACTTAAAGGTTTTCGCTCGAGTAATGACTTCACAGACTCCTAGCTGTGCTGTGCCCATTTATTTGTCTTCCTGTCTTTTATTGTCATTTCCTACATATATTTTTCCATGCTGAGCTGAGCAGTTTATGAATTACTTTCAAACTTATGGTCCACAGTTTGCATCATGCTGCCGGTAACAATTTACATTTAATTCTTAATGCTGGATTTATTTTTTAAGTAGGGTGCGACAATTTAAGCAAGTCTCCATTACATGGAACTTCATTGTACTTAAGTACTTGCAGTAGAAAGTGCTCAAAATCCGATTAATTTTGGGATTTGGTTATCACGTTCAATTTTCATTCATTAAATGAGACTTAATGACTTTAAAGTACAATGGGTAAATTCCAGTTTCAGTTTAGGTGTGGATACGAGATGATTATTTCCCGATACATTTTTGACCGAATGCTTTATTTCATTGAAAATAGCTAGCTTACTCAAGATCTAAAAAAATATTTTAAAGGTCGTGTAATTGCCATCCCCTCTGCCGATGCAAAATTCGATGGTAAACGTAAAACTTCAACCAAACTGAACTAAAAGTTGAACATAACGAAAATAAACCTGAGTATTATGAGTCTGCTAAATTTCACTACCATCGATAGGAATTACATTGTCCTGTCGCTTCTTCTGTTCTGTGCGGTGTAGTGCGTCGTTCCGTTGCTTATGATAGCCCATCAGACGGTTTATACAGGCTAGCTTTACATGGTATTTTAGTGGTACTTGCAGTGCATGTCTCTTCTCGACTAACAAGTGGTGCTGTTATCCACTCGTGCCCTGCAGAGGCTAAAACACAATAGTGAAATGGTCTGTTTAAAGGGTACCGTAGATTATAAGCAAGAGAACGGTACGTTATGCCGTACAAATCCGCAGAAGTGATAACAGAATATTCCATTTGAATTTGTCACAGATAGAGAGTGCACTTTCTTGTACCCTAAATAACCCTTGCGGTAACAGAACAAACTCAAAGCTGGTGTCCCAAACCATGAATTTACAAACTTTCTTGCTATGGCGAATAAATCTGAATATACGGGCTCAGAATGAAACATTTCAAGCCGTATTTAATAGTTTAACTCTGCCATTACGATGTCTCCGTACAACACAGTCACCTACTCATCGAAACTTATACCGGCTCAGTCCTCGCCCGGGCTACCAAGGGCCGCTCAAACTGTTGGGAGACTGAGATAGGCTGCGAAACGCCAGCCATCAGAACGTGCCATTCGCCTTTTGGCAGCCGGGAATTTAGCAGCACAGCAATGACTACAGAAGATCAATGAAACGACGACGAAGATACCACTGGTGTAAGCTTAGAGTCAGAATCTGGAATATATTCTCACTCAGAAGAAAACAACATCACGTAGTTCATGAGGCCGCAAGATACCAACTCGAAATAGAGAGAATCTCGTATTCGAAGTTCCAAAATTCTGGAATCCTGAACCCATACGGATGGAAGCTACTCTGCTCCGATGTCAATGTCACGACCGGCGCTCAGACCGGTGTTGATGTTCTGGAAGAGTCACTGAATAAACTCTGTCAATGGAAGAGTGGCCATCCGCTAAAGCGCTGACCTCGTTGCAGGTATGTGCGCCCGAACTAAAGGAAAAATATGATTCCTTCCTTGAGGAAGTGTAGTACGTTTCGCCGAATGCGGAGTGTCGAATACATCGTTCCTCATTTCCATGAGCGATTTTAATGCGCATGTTAGAGTAGACGCTGGAAATGGAAAGGCGTGATTGGAAAGAACTGTTGCATGAAGTTGTTGCGGTTTTGTGCAAGCAACGGATTTTCTGTTATGAACACCTTCTTCGAGCATCGAAGCGTGCAGTAGTGTACTTGACACAGGGAAGCTCGTGATAGAAGTCAATGAAAAAATTGGCAATGATGTTTCGTA